TCGATGAGGCAAGGTCCCCACCCTGGGGAAGCCCTCTATCCACCTACTGGGAGGGGAAAGGCAAGATTTCCCAAAGGCACTTGGCTTTGAAAGGGGCCTTAAGGTGGGGGTGAGGGGGTAGTGGGTGGAGTGGGGGGGACTTGAAATCAGGGTGGGGTGGGGGGTAATGGTGAGAGAAGTGAGAAAGGAAGTCAGGAAAGGGGAGGGCCCTCTGAGGAACCAGCCAGGACATCAGGAGCAGCCTGGGTGGCAGGGGGCATTTGAGTTGTCCCCAGACTGACTGGACATGGACATGGAGTGGGCGGGCTCCTTTTGAAGATGTACCATGATCACAAAATTGCACTGAAGGTGCTGGTGAGGCTAAGGGAAGGGGGCAGGCCAGGGGAGGGCAGTGGAGGGGGGTGAGAAGGAGGGGCTGGATTGGGGAGAGAGGAGAAAGTAGCATCTTTAGGACCTGGGTCTGCCCAGCTGTGTAGACTGAGGGGGGCGGGCGGGCTGAGCTACCCAAGGGTCCCCGTCTGGGTGGTGGAGGGAGAGGGGCTGCAGATGGGCAGCAAGTCTGGGGTCGGGGCAGGGGGAGGAGGCTCTGCTGGGTGAGAGTGGGCCACGGAGTGTTTCCAGAGTTTCCCGAGGCACGCAGTTTGAGGCTGGGGTACTTGAGAGAGCCCAGAAAAGATGCCCCGTGAGAATTCGCCAGTGGACCCCCACAGGTCAGTTAATGCTTGGAGGGGCTAGGTGGGATCAGGAGCCAGAGAAGGGCAGAAAGAGAGGATGAGAGACCTGGGGCAGGCCCAGTGTTGGGAATGCTGAAGAATCTGGGGGGGGGGGTGCCCCCCCTCAGGCGTGCCCGCACTGGGGCCTGGAGCTGGCTCAGGCTGCAGCCCTGTAACTGGGGGAGGCAAGAACCCCAGGATACAGGCAAGGGGAGTGAGCACTGTGAAGCCCCACGACTCACCTTCAGGCGGGTTTACCTTCAAGGTGGGCTCACCTGCGAGGGCTGGGCGGAGAGGCCGTCCTGGTGCCCATTGTAGATGTACACGCTGCCGAAGCTGGCGCCATCCTCAGCGCTGAAACCCTCCAGGGGGGCCCCGATGGCCACATCTGTGAACTTATCCTGACTGATGTCCCCAAGAGCCGCCATGGCAAAGCCAAACCGGGCATCTTTGAACCCGGGGTGTCCACTCAGCACGTGTGCCAAGGAGAAAGACCCTGCCTGTAAAACAGACAGCTGCTCAGCCCTCAGAAGAAGGGTGTGGGCCACCCACCCCGTGTCCACCCAGGAGACCCACACACTGGGCTCATTGTCTAGTGGGGAATCTAAGGCAAGGGGCCTGCCCACGGTCACACAGTGAGCTGGTGACAGGGCTCCTCCTGACTTGCAGGTCAGGACCCAGAGCCTGCCCCTTCTGCTCCCTGTCCCAGGGTAGGGGCACTGGATGGCCATTGGGAGGCACAGATTCCATCTGGTCTTGGTTCTATCAGATCTGCTATATAAGCTTGAGCAAGCCTGTACATCAATAGGTCTCAGTTTTTTCATATGTAGAATGGGATGGCCATTTTCTCCTGCACATACTGCAAGAAATGAAGGCGCTCATGGGCAAACATGCAGCCTTAAGCGTGAGCATCAAGGCTTGGTTGAGGAAGGTGGGGAGAAGGGAGGAGAAAGAAAGCTACCCTACTGCTTTTGGATATCCACCCACCTTTCCACCCAGAAGCCCCTCCCACCCCCATGGCCTTCTGGGGCAGGGGCAGGGCCAGCTCTGCTGGCTGAGGGCCTGTGGGTCAGCAGCGCTCCCACCTGCTGATTCACGCGGTACATGTAGACTCTGCCTTCTTCCCCAAGGACGTGGTAAAACGGAGCGGCCACCAGCAAGAAGTCCGTGGTCCCATCCATGTCGATGTCCACAGGGCACAGCTCGGAGCCAAAATAGGACCCCATCTACAGCCGAGGGGGGACTAGGTCCAACAGGAGGGTCTCTCCCCTCCTCACAGGGGGCTCAATCTCTACTCTGCCAGGACCACCAGAGGTTGGTCCTACCTGGGCAACTTGCTCATCAGAGTCGACCAGGTGTAGGGGTGGTGGTGAGCAGCCCCACCTCTACCACCTGACGGCTCTGACTCCTGGCCACCCCTTGGGGCTTGGAGCAGATCGGGGCTCCATAGGGCCTTCAATGGCTGAATTTTCAGAAGTGGATCACCAGGCCTTTCTTCCGAGGCTCTCTGGGTGGACTTGATACACACACCCCAACCCTTTGATTAGCCCCAGAACGCATGAGCTAGCTACTCCACAGTGTGTGTGTGGGGGGAGGGGGGCAGCCATGCAGAGTCCACACCAGCCCCTAAGTACCGCCAGAACCCTGCCCAGAAGTCAGTGTGCTGCCTGCCGGGCTGGCCTCTGACCCACAGTGTGTCCTGAGGTCTGTGCTCCTCAGGGTCCCCTGTGTAAGGAGAGGGGTGTCCCCAGGTACCTGGTCGCCCTCCAACACTAGAAGGAAGCTAGCTTCAGGACCCTCCTTCCAAGATTCAAACACTGCCCCATGGTGAAGATGCTTCGGAGCCCCCGCCACATAGGAAAGGCCACCAGTCCTGTGTAGGACAGCCACCGAGTAACCTGGGGGGAGGGGGACGGGGGGCACGGTGAATGGGGGATCGCCCGTCCACTCCTGTCACCTCATAGAGTGCTCCCACTCACAAGGTCATAGGTCACTCACACAGACAGCCTCACTAAAAATACAGGCAGTTCGTGTGTTCCCCTCCCCCCACGCAGTGTATAAGGACCGAGGTTCACTGCCTTCCCCTAAGCAGCCGCCCAGCGTCCCCCATGCCTCGGTATCCCCACTGTGGACATCCTATTCCTCAGCCTCGGGGATCCCTCACCAGGCCACCCCCTCCCTCTCATCCACGCGACTCGCCAAAAACCACCATTTGGACCAGGAAGCCTAATGCGCAGCGCCAGGCGGGGTTCCAGGCCCAGGCCCCGCCCTCACCGAGGTAGCAGTACTGCGCAGCCTCGCTGTCCCCCGCGGTCGGCTGCAGGAAGTGTCCCCGATGGCTGCTCAGGTTGTAGAGCAGCGCACCCCCGGACCAGTTAAAGGCTCCCACGGCGCCCAGCAGCACCTGCTTCTGCGGGGACACGGGATGGACGCTTTCTGAGCAGGAGGTACCGAGGGGCCAGCGCGGCAGGCCTGGTGCCCCTTCCCTTGACGCGCCCAACACCGCATCCCTGAGTCTCCAGCATGCACCCTCCTCTGCGCAGAAAGTGGCCAGGGCTCAGGTATAACGCTTTTTTTTTTTTTTAATGATAATTGAGCAAGATCGTTGGCGCTCATTCCCCTTTAGGACAATGTGTACTGGAAAGCACCAGTAGGGGCCAGTCCCGTCAGTGGGGAGAAGTCAGCAGGTTGATTGGCAAGCCCAGCCAGGCGAAACCCCTTTTTCTACGCTGAATTAGGGGCAATTGCCCATGGTGCACACCTGGGACCAAACCACACTTAGAAATATCCGGGTCCTGGAGGGGTAGTGGTTAGGCCGTTGGGCTGCGTGCTTGGGTCAGCAGTTTGAGAGAAAGACCAGGCTGTCTACGCCTGCAGAGAATTACAGTCATGGTAGGGGAGATTCACAAGGGGGCCACACTGCAAGGCTAAAGGTGTAAAGTAATGGGGTGGGGTGGGGCACTAGACCCCTCCATCCTTGACTGCAGGAAGAGCAATGGGGTCTTGTGAAGGCTGCCCCTGGGTCACGCATGCTCAGGACTAAAAGAGTCTAAGTGCTGTCAGACTGATGGATTATATAACAGGGCCTGCTCCCTATTTAACAGAAAATACCCATCTATTCTGGGCCAGGACAACAGTTAAGACTTGGAACTGTTTGCATGCTCTCTCTCTGTCTCTGTCTCTCTCTGTCTCTCTCGTTAGTGTCCAAGATAGGCAGGGTAAGCAATCCCAAGGAGACAGCACAGTGGGGGCATGGGAGAGGAGGAGGTGGTGGAGAGGGGAGTGGTGCCCCAATAACAGCAGGGACAGGGGAATATCAAGGACTCTAAAGTTGACAGTGAGGGGGGTCTAGCATTCCTGGTCGTGTTTGATCAATTGAAATGTATCTGAGAGGTGAATGACGGGTAAACATGATAGTGGGGCAGGAGGAAAGAAAAAGAGGTAAGAACAAGAAAGTAAAAATTATATATATAAGTATAAATATATATATGTATATTTAAATATAACAAGGAAGCAGATGGACTTTGGGCCTCTACTTAAATCTTACCTCGGTACAAGAATGGTTTGTTCTAATAATGCAGCACTGTATGATACTCACCTTCCTGACACGATTGCTGAAGACAATATGGGTGCATAAGCAAATGGGCTGACGAAAGCTGATGGTGCCCAACTATTAAAAGATAAAGCGTCTGGGGTCTTAAAGGCATATAGTTCAACAAGTGGCTCTCCAGCAGGGAAGCAACAAAGCCCACATGGAAGAAGCACACCAGCCTCTCTGATCACGAGGTGTTGACGGGAACAGGTATCAGAAGTTCAAAAACAAAACCAAGCAATCAAATAGAAGTGAAGGAGTGTGGACAAAGTGGAGGCCCACAACCCACCTGTAAGGTAGTTGGACAGTCCCTCACGGAAGGGCCACATGGAAGGGATGATCTCTCCAGGGTGCAGTACAGCACTGAGAAACACCTAACTACCCTCTAGTTCTTTAGTATTTCCTCCCCTTCCAGTTATGGTCCTAGTTGTACCTCATTAATCTTGTTAGACCTGTGTATGTTCATTTGTATAATTAAAAGTGTTCGATGCATGAAACCCAAGATAGATAAACCCTTCAGAAACAGTCATGGGAGTAACTATTCCACGAGGAGCAAGAACTGATAGTAATGATGACTGGATAACCCCACTCAAGGGGAACGAGTAACAGACTTGCAGGTGAACGTATACATGGGATGGTGGAAGATACAGCAAAATATTATAGGTAATAATAATGATATATAATATAATAATAATAATAAGGGTTTCTGGGGGTAGGGTGGGGGAGGGAGGGGATAAGGGGGACTGATAGCAAAGAATTCAAGAGGAAAGAAAATTTTAAAAAAGAAAATGTTTTGAAACCGATGGTGGCAGCAATTGTACAATTATGCTTGATCGAACTGAATTATGGACTGCTATGATATCTGCAAGAGCTCCCAATAAAATGATTTTAATAATAATTTATAGCTTATCAAGGGCTCAGGAGGGAGGGGGGAACGGGGAGAGAGGGGAAAAAATGAAGACCTGATGCCAGGGGCTTAAGTGGAGAGCAAACAAAATGTTTTGAGAATGATGAGGGCAATGAATGTATAAATGTGCTTTACACAACTGATGTGTGTATGGATTGTGATAAGAGTTGTATGAGCCCCTAATAAAACGATTAAAAATAAATAAAAATAGAAAATAAAATGATTTTAAAAAGAAGAAAGAAGAAAGAAGAATTGAAGTCTCAGCAGCTCCCAGGGACAGCTCTACCACGTCCCACGGGGTTGCTGTCAATCGGCATCGGCTTGATGGCAGTGAGTGTGGGTTTGGGTGTTGGGTCATGTAGTGGGTTACACATGGGGCTGTTCAACACAAGGTCAGCAGTTCAAAACCACCCGTAGTTCCCTGGGAGGAAGATGGAGTTTTCTACTCCTGACAAGATTTATAGCCTTGGAAACCCACAGGGGCACGTCTGTGCTGTCCTATAGGGTCTCTGTGAGTTGGAATCAGCTCAATGGCAGTGCCTGGATGGGCAATAAATAGGGCCATTCTTCTCCTGAAAGGTCCTGGTAAGGATGTTCCATCAGAGATACCCCTACCCCCTCCTCCGGAGATGGTGGGGCTCTGCCTCTGGATGCGTGAGTGTCGGTGGGCCCCTCCTCTGGTGCCACATACCTCACCCAGGAGCTCGGCGCTGAACCCGACCTGTGCCAGCTGGAAGCGAATGGCATCTCCGCCCGCACCTGGAAGCCAAGGAGCCAGGGGAGGTGGGGGTGAGGGGAGATGGAGCCGAGGGACAGTCCCACTCAGCCTTGCTCCCCGGGACCCGGTGCGCTCACCTTCCACGTGGATAATCTTCTGCTGCAGTCTGCTCAGCAGCCCCTCCAGCCCCGAGTAGTTGGTCACCTTGAAAGCATGTGTCTCATCGGAGGCGATCTGCTTCAGCTCCCGATCAGAGGTCACCTTCTGGAACGCATCCCCTACCTGCGCAGAGGTGCCCGGTGCTACGTCAGCTCCCTGAATGGCCGGCTGGCTCCCTCCAGCCCTGAGCACCCTCCATCACCCAGCTCCTTCCACCCCTGCCCCCTCTGGGCTTGGTTTCATCAAAGGGCCTGCTTTCCTGCGCACAACAAGCTCCTGGTCACCTCGGCAGGCTGCCCATCTCCCCTGATGGCCCTGTTCCTGTCTGTCCTCCAGCGCTCAGCTCCGCTTCAGGAACCAGCCCTGGTGTCCGATGCCCCCCACCCCCCTGCCATCCCTGCTGGGCTAAGTGAGCTGCCACTACCAAATGGATGTGAGCTTTCGGTGAGGAGACCTGAGGCCAGGCCCTGGGAGAGGTGCGGGGAGGGGGGTGGAGTTGCAGATCAGGAGATGTGCCTTTGTGACTCTGAGGATTTTGTAATCTGTTTACAGAGGATGATGGGGAACCAGGTGCTCTGGCCCCTCCCCAGATCTATCTGAGAGTACATCTGGTTCTTACCCCGATGGCAAAGCGCTCGACACCCTTCATCTTGGGGGAGCTGATGACAGTGCTGAGATTGAGGGGGTCCATGAATATGTCCCCGTCTGTGAGCACCACCATGACCTTGGCTGCCCTTTCCCTGGAGCCACCGCTGGGCGTGAAGACATTGTCTCTGGGTAGGGGGAGGAAAGAAGAGGGGAGCTTTGCTAGAGGACTGCATTCCTGGACCTGTTTTAGAATCAGGAATTGTGTTCCCTCCCCCGATGGTGGGGCAGTGATGGCCCTGGCATCCCACTGTGAGGCTAGGGAGAAGTGGGCTGTCATCCAGGTGTTTCCGTGCCTTACCTGCTTCTCCTCCAAAGGTGTGGGGCGGTCCTTGAGCCCATTCCTTTTAGGTGTGTGCAGGAGTAATCGTGATAGTAAGAAATAATCAGGATACTGATCACGATGGCTAATTCCTACATAATACTTAAGAAGGCTGGGCTAGGCTCTTGTAAACGCTATATGTATTCTAACCCATCGAACCCTCCAAGGGGAGTCCTGGTGACTCAGTGGGTTAAGCATTGCACGGCTGCCCACAGCAGCCCCACCCACCCTCCACCCAGCCACTCCTTGTGGGGAAGATGAGGCTGTCTGCTTCCACAGAAATAAATCTACAGTCTCCCAAACCCTCAGGAGCAATTGGACTCTTGTCTGACATGCAAACCCAAATCAAACTCGCCGCCCTCTGGCTGATTCCAATGCTGGAGACCCTACAGGACAGGGTAGAACTGCCCCTGTGGGTTTCCGAGGCTATAACTCTTTCCCGAAGTAGAAAGCCTCCTCTTTCTCCCTCAGAGTGGCTAGCGGTTTTGAACTGCTGACCTTGCAGTTAGCAACCAAACTTGCAACCACTATGCCCTGGCTTACACAACCCTCACTTTAAAATCCCATGAGACAAGGATCGTTATTATCTTCACTTTACAAGTGAAGAATTTGGACCACAGAGAGGTTAGCCCATTTGCACAAGGTCACACACAACTCAGACTGGAGCTGGGACTTGGACCCAGCCAGCCTGGACACTGCTCTACTGCTTCTCACAAAAGGATGTTTCTGGAAGAATTTGGGGAGGGCAGTCGTCGGGGTGGCCGAGGCTGGACTGAATGACCACACAGCCAGGGAAGAGCGAGAATTCTGATCTTCTATTTTTTTTAAATCTCATGTTCAATATAGTTACAATATATATATAACTCAATATCTGCCAATTCAGCCTGCTTTCCATGTACGGTCCAGTGCCCTTGATGACATCCATCATGGAGTGCAGCCATCACCTGTTTCTGCACCAAACTTGCCATCAGCATCAACAGCTGAGATAGCCAGGCCTCCCCCTCTTCCCCCCCCCCCACCCCGCCCCTTTCCTGGTAACCACCAGTAGACTTTATGCATATTTGCCCGTTCTAAATGTTTCATCGTCGACGTAGACCTGATCCCCTCCTGGTCGAGGCTCTAGTTCTTCAGACAGGATGCCTCTGAGCAGGGCCACTAGCTGGCCCCCAGTCGACACTCACAGGACATGCTGCATCGCTGAGGCAGTCTTGGTGACGTTCCCCACTTGAATGATGTTCTGGACTCGGGCCAGGGAGGCCAACTCATCCTGGCTGTCCCGAAGGTCAAATTCAGTCTGGATCACTGTCCCATATTGCACCAGGGCGAAGCTGCACTGCAGGGGATAAGCCAAGGTGGGGCTCAGGTTGGCAGAGTGGTCATGCCCAAGGCCACCCCTGCCCCATGGATGGCCTCTCCTGGAAGCAGAGGAGGGACCTTCTGATTCTACCTTGTCCCCTGGCCAGAGGTGACTCTCCAAGAAAATAGGACTGTGACACTAACAGTGAATTACATGTTCCTGTATAGTCCCCCTCCAGATTGATTATGGAATTGGAATGAATGAACCGTGTGACTGGCTTTGGCCAGTGGGACATCAAGCACATGTGATGGAATCCGAGAAACATAAAGGGCTTGTCCTCTGGGTCTGCTTTGGCCATGAAACAGTTGGCTTGACCGGCTGGAGTCACGTGGTCCAGCGAACAGCCAGCACCAGTTGTCAGGCAGACAAGGGAGGCAAGCAACAGCCTGCGAGACCAGCAGAAGAACCGCCCAGTGCAGCCCAGTCCAAATAGCTGAGCCGCAGAATTGGGAGCAAAGGCAGTGGTGGCTGCTTGGAAGTAGTCTAATCCACAGCAACAGTTACCTCTGGGAGATGCGTACACGCGCGAGACCAGCTCGCAAGGAAACTCACCTCGAAGCACTTCTCATAGATCCCCCTCATCATTTTGGAGATGAAGTCTTTGGCTTTCTGGAAGTCTGGGGGGCTGATGCTGCCTGAACCGTCCAAGACAATTGCAATCTCGGTGCCTGGGTCCGGAGGGGGAGCGAGACTTGAGACCAGGGTGAGGGATTGTGAAGCCCAAGCCTGCCTGGGTGGCGTCAATAGCACCCCCCCACCCAAGAACTCCAAGAGAGTAAAAAAACCTGGCCTTCTCCTGAGGGGCACTTTCCGCTCGGTCACGGGGCAGGCTCTGAGTTGAAATCAACTCAACAGTGCTCCTCCGTAACAGCAACAAGGCTTGGTTCAGGGAGGAAGTGAGTGAAGGGCTCAAGAGGGAAGCTTTTGTCTCCCAGGCTGAGAGAAAGCTAGACCCCTGTGCTCCCTCGCTCCACGCTCTCTAGCTGTGCTTGCTCTCTCAGGGGGAGCATCAGGGCTGACCAGGCTCATAGCGTCTCGCCACTTCCAGGGACCACGCACACCTCCCCCAGCAGGGTGCCAGGTTTGGGGAGGATGGAGGAGTTGGCCCTGACAGCTCCTGGGAGCACCTAGATTAGGCTCTTCTCACCAGCTTCCTCCTCCTCTTCTTCTTCCACCTCCTCCAGCGCCCGGCGACACCTGGCTGACTCCCCATTCCCATTCTTGTTCCCATAGCAGTCTCTAGCATCCACGCGCACATCTGGATCCAGGAGATTTTCTTCAAAAAAACCAAGCAACGTGGATCAGATGAGAACCAGAGCAAACTCTAGACAAGCCCACACTTAGCTCCGCCTGGTTCTTTTAGGGAGCACATGGGAGTCGTGTCCCCTGAGCATATTCAGGGGGCTGGTATCTTCCCTTCAGGACCCAAGGACATCTTTTTTGAGGTGACTCAGGCCAGTGAGGGTCTATTCCTCACCCAGGTTGGAGAAGCTGACTTGGGCCTGAAGTTGGAAGTCAGGGCCCAGTAGGCTGCAGGCCCCTGTGAGTTCTGGGGTGAGGCTGTGGGGCGTCCGGGATCTCACTTGAATGCAAATCTGGGAGAGGGAGGAAAAGATAGAGAGAAGGCCTGATCACCTCCAACCCAGATCCCCTAGTTGCAGCGTCCCCATCCCTGGACTGAGGACCAGGCAGGGGCACAGGAACCACTTTCCCCAGGGTAGAGAGGTCCATGCTGGGGTCAAAGTTAGGTCAGCACCTGAGCCCGTGCTGGGCCATATAGAGGCCAAGGCCATAGGAGACAGCTGAGGGCCACATGGCAGTTAGAAGTGGTAGCAACGTCAGGTCAGCCACAGCGGGTAGTACTAGGGGGCATCCATAGAGTCTGCGACAGCCTCCCTAGGGCCCTTCCACCTGAGGCCCACTCACCAAAACACCGTGGCGGTTCCGAGCAATCGTCACTCCCTGATGCCTTCCCTTTGGCATGGGCACATGCTCTGAAAGAGTTAAATCCAGATAAGGAGGGAGGGACATTGAGCGGCAACCCTGAAGCCAGCAGGGCCCGGGACCCCCTTGGCCCCAGTCCCATGAGGAACTGTCAGGACAGTGTCTTAGTCTGGAGCCATCCCGTCAGCCAGTCGCCCTGAAACCATTCTGTTCAACAAGGGGCTTCTCACGGGGCTGAGGCTTGGCTTCATCCCGCCACGTTGCCACCGCAAATGTGGGACTGGATTCAAGTTGGTGAGATGAGTGTGTGTGACTAATGCATGAAGGGCGTCCGTCTGTCCATTCTTTCAAATAACATCCATTAGTGCCTCCAATAGGCCAGGAGCCCCGGTGGCACCATGGTTACACATTGCGCTGCTAAGTACAAGGTCAGCATTTTGAAACCATTGGCCACTCCATGGGAGAAAGATGGGACTCTCTACGCCCATAAGGAGTCACAGTCTGGGAAGCCCACAGGAGCAGGTCTACCCTGTCCTAAAGGGTCGAGACGCGTCAGAATCGTCTGTGAATGTAATGTACGACAAAGGAAACGTATTTCTTTGCAATTGGTGAAGTGTTGGGCTCCTGACCCAAAGGTTGGCAGTTCAAACACCCCGGCCATTCCACGGGAGAAAGATGAAGCTGTCTGTCTGCATCCAGATCCACAGCCTGGATCTGGATCCACAGCTCCACAGGGTGGCAGCGAGCTGGAATTAACCCAGCAGCCGTGGGCCATCCTTAGACTGGGTGGCATCGCGTTTTGGACCCAGTGGAGGCATGAGGGGCTGGGCTGCGGGGGTTGAATTATGGAGTCGGGCAGATTGGAGTTTGTATTCATCAGGAGTCTTAAACTCTGAAGGCATTTGACAGAACTCAGGCCTCTAGCAACCCGTGAACCACATCCGCTCCATTTGGTTTTATGAGCTCCCGTGTCGAGCTGCCACTTCTATAAAGGACAATTTCCACCTTTCACCTTTGACCTGGATATAAGTAGTATGAGTGGGGGGGGTGTGCCATTTAGAATTGGCCAATAGGAAGAGAAGATGATTTGATTTGTGCAGGTGTTGGACAAAAAGTGAACCATGACATAGTGGTGAGACCAGATCTCCGGGAAATACCCCTGTCTCCCCGACCCCTAGAAAGATGTTTTCCTGACCCAGTACCCTGTGTTTATAGTGTAACAGCTAGTCCAGGAAACTCGTAGCTAGCCCAATCCTGCTACCTGGAGCCATCCTTGCAAAGGAGACCAGCCCCTGCAAAGAGGTCAGCCAAGACCCTAGCTGTCGGTGCTGACCCCCCAGACCACTCGAGCCCACCCTGTGACTTGTGTTTTTCTGCTTTTATTTGTTTCGGTAACACTGTAGATTCTCTTGATTCCATGTGGCCCTATTTTGAAAAGCAATTTTCTTCTGGCTGTGATAAAACTCTTGGCTTGTTTTAATTTAAATAGACTCACGGTTCCCCCCACGACACAGCAGACCTGTGGGTGTTACCAAAGCCAGACGTGTGGCCTTAATGAAGCAACAAACCATGCATCGAACCAGGTGATTCCAACTCATGGAAACTCCACTCCAGCCTTCAAGTTGATTCCAGCTCATGGAAACTCCACAGAGGTGGGAGGAGAACGTGGCTCCGCGGGGCTTTCTTTTTCAAGATGTTTATTTGCTTTTGTTTTGCTGTTGCCAAGAGGCATGAACCGAGCAGAGCACAGACTAATTCTACACTTTGCGTACAGCTCAGGGACACAGATGGCATCCTGTGAGTGGGGCAACCCTCTCACCCGCCTTTTCCTCCCCGATAATTCACTGCCTCGAAGGCCCCTTTTAATCCTTTGAGTTGTGCTGGCCAATTCGATCCCATAAATACAAATCTAAAATGAATATGCTGCTTAAGGCAAGCATTCCTAATTAGTTGACTTCTGGGCCTATTTTGCTTTAAGTTTAAAGACTGTCACCTGGCAACCGTCTCAGGAGTTTATCCCAGCTTCCATGGTTCCCCAAAAAGCCGGGAGTCTGGGATTTCCCCTTGTTTGAAAAAGCAAGATTCTTCTCTCAGAATGATCTGTTGTGGCTCCATAGAACATCCAATGTTAACTTTTCAGAAATACAGTAAAAGGCTTGTCTCCCAAAGGACCTCTGAATGGCCTTGAACCACCAGCCTTTGGGATAGGAGCAGAGAGCTCTACCCAATTACAGCACCCAGATCCTGCAACCAAAGGATGGAAGGTCTCTGAATTCCATCATTTCTTTTTCTGTAAACTGGCCTGGCTGCCAGGGTGAATTGCTAGTGATGCCTTTTATAAGTACAGTGTGAGGCACTGGGGAAGCTCCTGGCACATCAGAGCTGACTCATAGCGACCCCCAGAGGCTTTCTGAGACCGTAACTGTTTGTGGAAGTAGAAAGCCCAGTCTTTCTCCTGCGGAGCTGCAGCAGGTTTCGAACCGCTGACCAGGAGGATCACAGCCCAATGAGTAACCACTAAGCCACCAGGACTCCTTTTAATAAACTCTAGTTGTCATTGATTATTAGGGCTGGGTCAGGATTGGTATCGGGGTTGGGAGGAGGTTGGGCCTTCAGATAGGGTGAGTGATCATGGGCCATCTTGGAGTCTTGGGTGAGGTAGGCGGGTGCAGGGGTGAAGGCATGGGGTCTTGAGGACAGGATTCCCGGAAAGGAAGACCTAGCCACCTCCCTTCCTTGGAGCTGAGCTGACTCACCGACTGGTTGGCAATCGATCGGTGCCGAGGGTGCACCAGTGCAGGGGCCTTGCTGACAGGTTGTGTTGAGGGTGCATCGATGCAGGAACCTTGCTGAGTGGTTGTCTTGAGGGCTGGTGACCAGGAGCCTGAGTGGGAGAGTGAATGGACATGCTGACCTGGCTGCCAATGCCCTTCCCCCTGCTGCCTTTCCCGCCACAGACTTCCGTTGTCGGTCCACAGCTCCCGGGACTGCAGATTTGCATTATGGGAGAGGTATTTGCTCAACCTCTGCTTTGCGCAGCTGCAGGCAGGAGAGGATGAAGCACAGCCCCTTTCTGCCTGCCTGCCTACCTGCCCTGAAGGAGATGGGGTGGTCCCCTCTTGCTAGAGTTGGTGGGGAACCAGGAAGCTCTCCTGCGGGCCCCACCTGCGCTGAGTGTTTGTGGGTCACAGTGGGTACACACCAGTGGGTCACCAGGTGCACGTCCCCCGAATCAGTCAGAACTGGAGGTTTGAGAGTGACTGTCTCAGCCTGGTCATTCCCAACTACAGACATCTTGCCTCTCACCCTGAACCCAGACCAGGGAGACAACGGCGTCCAAAAAAATCCAAACCAAACTCATGGCCAACGGGTCGTTGCTGACTCATAGCGACCCTGTAGGACAGGGTAGAACTGCCCCCAGAGTTCTGAGACCGCAAATGCTTACAGGAGTAGAATACCCCATCCTTCTCCCAACCGAGAGTCCGGCAACAGCCAAAATATTCTCCCTGTTCCTGAAGTCCAGAGGCAGGGAGCGAGTTCCCCATCCTGCGGGGGTGTCGGTAGGAGAGAGTGGGGTTATAGATTGAAGCGTGTCCCCACAAATAGGCATTGAATTCTTGGCCTTTGTGGTCCTGTTTGGAAATAGTGCTTTCTTCTGTTGTGTTCATGAGGCCATGCTGGAATGGGATGGAATGACATCACTTCTGAGTTATAAAAAGACCAGACGAGTCACAGAGACACACGTTCCAGGGAAGCCAGGGGCCACGTGAGCAACCAAGGAATGCCTGGGGCTATGGGCAAGGAAGGACTCCACCTGGCTCAGACCCTGGGTTGGACTTAGAGCCTCCAGAACAATGAGAAAATGAACTGCTGTCTCTAAAGCCGCCCGCCCACGCGTGGTATCCTGTTAGAGAGCATCTGGAGGTGCCGGCAGTGGGACTGGACCGGAGGCCTGGCGTGGTGACAATCGACACAGTGAAAGATCCTCGTGCAGGAGGCAGCAGGAGGGCCTCCTTAAAAGTGAAGCTCACAATTAACCCGTGCTCTTGAACAGGCATGCCGTGAGAACTGCGGTTTGGGGGGCAAACCAGAGAGCCCAGAGTGGGGGCAGGAAGGAGGTGCCATCCCCACGTCCTCACCTCCCTTCACTCTGAAACCTGTCTTCCATGGTGAAATAGATCACTCCCCGACCTCCACAGTTAACAGGCACCCCCGCGCTTAGCGCACCCCAAGTTGCCTTCCATCCTTGGAAACTCTTGTCTGGGTCACCCGTGATCACCATGTTGTCATTCCAGGGCACTCATCTTTCGCCCTGGACATGGTGACCGACCGACTCCTGGAGCCTCTTTCTCCCCTTGTTCTTCAGATCCCTGTGCTGGCTCCTCTAAACGTCCCCCAGTCCTGAGACTTGGTCCTCCGAGTCTCCCTTCGGTGGCTAGGGACCCCCTCAACCGCACGGCGTCACTACACCTGTAGGTGCGGAAACGCTCACCTTGATACCTGTTGTTCCACACAGCTGCTCTAAGCAGAATAGGGGCCCCACCCCCACCCCCTACCAAAGGTGTCCACGACCGAATCCCCAGAACCTGTAAATATGTTTACACCTTACATGGCCAAAGGGACACTGCAGGTGTCATTGGGATCTTGAGATGGGAAGATTCCTGGATTACCCGGGTGAGTCCGGGGTCACCACAAGGGTTCTTGTAAGCGGGCGGTAAGCAGGTGAGAGTCAGAGAAAGAGTTGAAGGAGGCTGTGCTGCTGGCTTTAGAGATGGAGGAAGAGGCCACGAGCCAAGCCATGCAGGTGGCTACTCCCACCCCCACCCCCACCGCCCACCTCCTTTCGCTTCTGCTGTCCAAGCTGCGATGAACCCCCACGCAGCACTTTCCATTCTCAGCCCCTCGGGCCTGCTGCTCCCTTGGTCTGGAAACATCTCCCTCACTCTCCCCAAGGCTGACTCAGTCTCCTTCCTTGGGTCTTGCTTACCAGTCACCTCCTCTTTAAGGGTTTCTCCAGGCAGCCCCACCCCCAACCCAATTCCTCTGCGGTAGGCCCTTCTCAGAACCTGGCCCCATCTCAGTTATCTCCTGCCTCCCCACCCTCACCCCTCACTGTATTCACTCCAGGGACCTTGTGTCTCTCATTCCCTGTGGTATTCCCAAAGCCTGCAACAGAGCCCGGCACAGAACAGGGACCCGGTAACTATTTCTTATGTGACTTGAAGGACAGCTCAGGTGTGGCTGGGAAGCTGAACCTACGAATTCGGTTGCTTCTTCTCTAACCCTGCCTGTCGGTCCACATCCCTCCCCAGCCAGCGTAAGGCAGCAGTGACTCCATGACAGGCCGAGCCGTGTAAAAGAGGCCTAAGTTTCATTTTTCCAACCTTGCGTTTCGTTTCTCTAACAAAGTCACCCTCTCCCCCGAAATGACGCTGACCACACCTGGAAAGGTCTGAGAGATCACAATGACACTGACCGCTCCTGGAAAGTTCTGAGTGACCACAATTGGAACGTCCCGAGAGTGGAGCCAGTCAACCAAAAAGACCTGCACAACCAATTGTCTCCAGATGAAGTCATTGAACTATGGGGAGGTGAGGGGGAATAGTTTCACCCAGTTTATGTAACCTGTAAAGAGTAGAAAAGCTTGGCTTGTGCCCCAGGCCGGGGTCCTTGTCTTTGGTGACCACTGCGTTGATGCCTTAGCACTTGGGCCCTAGCTGGAGCTAGTCAATAAACTCCTTTGTTGTCTGCAGCCTCGGTGACTCTGCCTCTCTGTTCCTGGGGCCGAGGGAAAGCCGGCAGTAACAGCAGGGCCTCAGCTCAGGGCCCACCACCCTACTCTGTGCTTCCCCTCAAAGAGCCGGCTCAGAAACGGGCTCAAACCCAGACGGCATTTGGTGAGGTGGCTGGATGGGTCTAAATGCTCTTTCCCAAGTCTGCCTTGCCTCTCACCTCCTCCTGCAGAACTGTCAACCGGCAACTCTAGTTCCTCAGGAACCTTCCCACAGGAAGGGCCAGCTGGGCCTCCACCCGCCTCTCCGGCCTTTTCTCCCCATCTGATTGTGAGTTTGAAGCAGACATCCAGGCCCAGCGCACAGGCTGAGCACTGTAGGCAGATAAAGCAGCCACTCCCATCACTGCTGTGAATGCAGTAGCTGGGGGCTGCTCCCTGCCCCTCCTCGCCCCGACAGCGGATAGTCTCTTGACCAGCTAAGCAACAGAGGACCCACCATCAGCTCATGGCGCAGGGAGCCTACTGGACACCCTGCCTGCCCTATCCTCGACCCTGTCCCCTGCTCTCCTTGCTGTGGCCGGCCCTGGCCGGTGACTTCTTAGGGACAGAGTGCGAAGGTGAGAGAAGGACCTTTGATTCTGGCACTGGGAGCCCAGCCCATGCTCCTCGTTGCGGGCCCGGGCTGGCCAGCTGCTGCATTTCCTGCCTCCTGCGTCATTCTGCGGTCATTGCCTCCCACCACATCCTCCTCTTCAGCACATTCAAACCTGTGACCACCTCCTTCAGCCTTAGCAGGTGCTCAGGGAGGTTGTCCTGGCCTCTCCCCTGCCCCCACCCTCTTCCTCAGTGACTTCAAACTCCTCGAGTCCACCTGGGCTCTGCTTTCTAAGGGCCAGGAATCTGTTGGGGACTGGTCAGGAGAGGGTCACAAATGACTGCTCCTGGCATCCAGTGTTCTGTGGAGCCTGCAGAACACGCACTCACTGCCTCAGAGTGGCCCTGTCGGACAGGCTAGCACTGCCCCCGGGGGTTTCCGAGACTGACCGTAACTCTTTATCGGAGTAGAAAGCATCGTCTGTCTCCCTCAAAGTGGCTGGTGGTTTTGAACGGCTGACCTGTGGTTAGCAGCCAACGTGTAACCCACTACCCCAAGTGCACAGTAGTCCTGCCCATAGTAGCCCAAGGAAATGACCCCAGTATCTATTGCCCACAATGCTCACCCCATGCGAAACTGGACAGCAACGGGAGAGCATGACCGTGCCAGGCAAGCCTGAGGGACAGAATTATAGAACTTCTGTTGCAAGAGAGCTAACTGTGAGTGAAATTCAGACCTTCTGGATCCTTCCTACTGAGCTCAAAGACAAGTGAGACGAATCGATGGAGATCAGGCTTAGATGAGGGTTACTCTTGACATGTGCAGGCCGGAGGGGGCCGAAGCAAAGCTTGATGCTGCTTCCTGGCCTGATTCACTCTGGGGGGGTTCCCTGAGGTTCACGCTTACAAGATGTGCACTTTCCCATGTGGCCAACACCAGTATGATTTTACCAGAACTAAACCCATCTACTTCATCTTCCCTATAGCCAAAAACTTCCTAACAACCAGCTCACTGCCCTTTCTGGCTCCCCAGACCCCTCAGAGGGAGGAGCAAGGCTCTCTGGCAGGGGCGGCAAGGCACTGCCCGAGCCCTCCCGCTTGTTTCCCAGCATCCTCAGCTTCATCCGCACAGAACTGGCTCAGGTCTTGGAGCTTGCTCAGGCCAGCTCCCAGGCCCACGGCCAAGGCATGCTCCGATCCAGGCGAGTGTGCACGCACAGCCTGTGGTCAAGGAAGGACCCCACCCGCTCTGTGCGCAACGGACGCCCTGAGTCATGTTCAGGTCCCCAATGTGCAGCTGACCCACGGACATGAGCCAGACTGGATTTAGGCACTTCTACAGCTGTGTGAGCCACTTCTCTCTTTTAACCATTCTGTTGGCATATAATTCACAGCACATAATTCGATGATCCAATCATATTCAGATGTACGATCTATCGCCACAATCAGTTTTAGAACATTTTCTTCTTTCTTGTACTTACTGTTAGTAGCTCCCCATTTCTCCCCACCCTCCCCTGCCATACCCCAAGGAAACCATGAATCCAGCTACTGGCTCTATAGATTTACCTATCCTGGATTTCATAGACATGAAAACATACCCGAATAATAATAATAAGGTAAGACAGAAAAAAAAACTCAATAGAAAACAGGCATTTCTTGACATGAATCTCTTTCTATATGTATACAAATACAAGCATGACTAGTATTGCTTCTTTAGAGAAGCCAGTCTAGCACACACACACCAGACCCTGCAACTCCTCATTGGATGAACAAACGAAGAGGCTCTGTCCTCAGCACCTCAGTGAAGGACACCAGCCCCGCTCCCTACAGATGAAGAAAGGGCCAGGCCTACTTAGCTAGTTGGGTCATGGCTCAAGGCCCAGGCCCATGGGGCTGTCTCGGGAGCAGGTAAGTCCACAGAACTCTGGCTCGCCCACCCCAGGGAGATGTGGAGCTCCCCTCAGCCAGGGACCCACTTGCCCTCCACACCTGGCTGGAATTGAAGCCCTGTGGGCCCTGATTTTCCTTGCTTCTGTGTGTTGGGCACTAAAGAAACACTTAGCCAGTGGATGAGGGTTGAGGGGAGTTGGGCGGGACCTGAGCACTCTTTGACATTAAAAAAGAAAGGGAGGAGAGAACTGCTACATATGAAAGGAGACTGGTAAGCATTGGAAAACTAACTCCAAGGTTGGTGGTTCAAACTCAGCAACTGCTCCATGGGAGAAAGGTGAGGCTTTCTACTCCAGTAAAAATTAACTGCCTTGGAAACCCCATGTAGGGTCAGACTCGACTCAGTGGCAGCGGGTTTGGTTGAGACATCAAGGAGCCGTGTGGTGCTGTGGGTACTAACCATGAGACTGGCCATTCAATACCCACCGACCATTCTAGAAGAGTGGGTCTGTCTGCTCTTGCAACTCTATATGGGGTTGCTTGGAGTCTGAATTGAATCAATAACAGTGGGTTTGGCTTGGGTTTAAAGAGACGTACAGCTTTCTTCACCACATTTGCTTATTCACCC